ATGTGGGTTGCATGCTGACTCAGGTTAAAATGTAAGCTCACTTATATTTTATTATATTTTTCATTTATTTTGTTTAATATTTCCCAATTGCATTTTAATCTGGTTTGGGCCACAGTCAGGTGTATTGTTGGACACATGCCATCCATAGGCCATGTGTTTGATACCTCTACCTGACAACAACCTTAATATTTAATCTTACAGTTTTTGTCTGAAGACCCTCAATGAATTAGAAGCCCCTTCTCCTGCAATTTCTTCATTCCACCTTTAGACCTTTCTACTTTTTAAGGGTGCTTATCCTCTACAGGATGATTGCCATTGGACAGATATCCCATAACATTCATTCCTCACACTGATAAGTCAAATGTGAAGAAATCTGAATAAATAATAATTCTCATTATTATGTGACTTTGGACTTAATATTTAACTTCTCTGACCTCAGTTTCCTCATCTCAAAATGGAGGGACTTGGACTGAATGGTTTCTGTAGTCTCCTCCAAGATCTAGCTTCATTTCATATTATTCATGTGTTCTACAGTTTCATTTCTCAGATCTTCAGTTTCTTCATCTTCAAAAGGAGAATAATATAAAAACTACATCATGTAGTTTAAGGATCAAAGGAGATAATGTTTGTAAACTTATTTGTAAGCCTAAAATTGGGGGCACAAATATCAGTGATGAAGAAGGCAATTGTCATGGCTGTGAGGACAATCATCTCTGAACCACCCAAAAAATGTCCTACAAAATGGCAACATCGTCAGGTAGATTGGGAACTCTCAACATCTTCCTTTGACCAAAGTTAGTGGAAAGAAGTGAGCCCAAAAAAAAGTGGTAACATCTTTCCTGCCCCCTATTTGGTTCCTTCACTCTAATTTCTGGGATGATTATACTTCTACCTAGTTTGATTGTGAATATGTGAATCCAATATTTGTGCAACTTAGTACCATTCAAATAATTTTCCTCAATTTAAGGTCTGTGATTGATTTTGCATCACCAACATCATCATCATTATCATCATTTTCTTTTTCCTCTTCTTCTTCTTCTTCTTCTTCTTCTTTTCCTCCTCCTCCTCCTCTTCCTTCTCCTTCTTCTTTTCCTTCTCTCCCTATTTCTTCTCCTTCTTCTCCTCCTCTTCCTCTTCCTCCTCCTTCTTCTGTCATTAGCAAATATTTATTAAATCCGTACTATGTACTAGGCATTGTACTAAATTCTGGGGATATAAAAAGAAACAAAAAACTGCCCCTGCCCTCAGGAAACTCACTATATAATCTTATCACTTAATTTAATTGGTGTATGGGAAGTGACTTGATTGAATAAATTAAGCCAATCCTTATTTATTTT